AAACTGAAGTCTCTTAATTGAGGTAAAAATAAGCTCAATGATAACCATACCTTAAAGGATCTTTAGAGACATTCTTCCCAGTATTCATCCCAATGGCATACAATAGTAAGTTAATGAGCAAGTTTGTATTACTACGCTTGACACAGCTGATAGTTTAGGAAAGTCAGAAAGTTTGACAGTGACTGGGACAATTAATGACACTCTACTGAATACAACAAGTTTAACACAAACACTAAGGCTGCTATAATGGTTTTTTGTGGGTGACTGGAGTAGAGGTGGCAGCACTCACTTTGCATGTCAGAGGTAAGACAGAGCACCCCTATAGCAATGAGTAATGAAGAAACCAAATGGTGCCCGGGTATCAGAAAAAATAACATCTGGGGTGTCTTAACAGCTTGTCTTCCAACAAGTATCATCTAAGTGAGGCATCAACTAAGTCCACATGGAAGAAGCACACCAGCCAGCATGATCCAAGGATTGTAAATAATAAAATCCAAATCTGAAGGAGGGAACAATATCAGGGTTTAAAGTCTGTATAACTGGTTTGCAGAAGGCTATGGAGAAGGTGGAAGCCCCAACTCCATTTGCAATGCCCATACAAGAATTAAGCCCCAGGGACATTAATAGATCTGCTATCAGATGGAGAGCACTGTAAGGTCAATGACGGCAGATGCCGGTAGGTTAAAATGTAACTCCTTATCATTTGATCTCCCTTTTGACCCATGTTTAAGTTGTTTCTCTTTTAATATTGTCTACTTTCTTTTCAATTGAGGTTTTTCTGTTTTGTTTTGCTTTGTCATTGTTGATGTTTTTTTGTTTGTGTTTTATGTGATTTCCTATATATGAAATCCAGGACAGATCAATCTATAGAGACGGTGGCTGGATTAATAATTACCCAGGGGCATGGCAGGGAAGTTTTGGGGGTAAGTGGGGAGCTGACAACAGTGAGTACGAAAAAGAAGAAAATGTTCTGAAATTGATGGTGATGAACAAACAACTCTTGCTAATATGACCGAAAGATTAAATTTGCATGATTTCTGAATTATATGTCAATACAACTATCTTCAAGAGCTAAAACACAAAAACAAACAAAATAACCACAGCTCCCAAGTTGTCTGACATCAGCCCAGGCACCGGTCCTCTTTTCCCATGATGCAGTGTGCCCTCCTGCCTGGGCAGCAGGGATGCCTCCCTCCCTCTGCCACATTGACACCCCCTTCACACAGACCCTGCTGGCTCGTTCAGCCCACGCATGAATCACCCTGACAGATGCAGCAAGCATCACAGATGGAAACTGAAAAATAAATTGCTAATTCTAATTAAAGGGCAGAAAGCCAGTGGGTTTTGTCATTAAACACCCCCCACCCACCACCCAATTGTTCTGGTCAGGCACAAGGCTGGGGTTAGGAAAGGTGGTTCATTAGCGTCACAGCAAACACACATGAAAAGCGGCACTGCATGGAGCCTCCCTGGACTGCTGAGGTGACCGAGGCATGCACACATGCATGCAATTACCTTCAACTGCGGCATGATGGATTTTCATGCAATGTTTATGGTAAGCTCTAGAACTGGAAATACATCACTTAGTCAGCTAAGACCTAAAACAGCATGTTTTACCTGCCTAAGGAAACATCCAAAGCATGTATGTGTTTCACTGTGTAAGTGTATTTGGAATGGCAGAAACATGACAACAGAAGAGAGAGAGGTGAGTCAGATAAGGGGGGGAGGGAAAGAGGGAGGGATAAAGGGTAGGAGGACCAGTTCTCAACTACAAGAATTCCAGGGCTATATTTGATCAACTGTGTGATGCACCTTTTTTCCCCTTCACCTTTTAATACCTCTGATATCAAAATAAGGTCCCTGGGTGTCCCAAGCGATTTATGCTTGACTACTAACCTAAGGTTGGCAGTTTGAGTCCACCCCAGGGTGCCACAAAAGAAAGGCTTGGCGATCTGCTTCCATGAAGATGACAGCCCCAAACACGGAACAGCTCATGGGTCAACATGAGTTAAGAGTTGGCTAGCAGCAAATCTATCTTTTAATCAATCTAAGAGCAACTTCACAGGTTAATTGGCTTTGTTTCTTCTTTTTCTTGTTGTTGTTAGGGGCCACCAAGTCAGTTCTGCCTCATAGAGTGTTAGGCAGAGTTCTCTAGAGAAACAAAACCAGGACACTTACGGATATATATATATATATATAGATATAGATATAGATAGATAGATCTATATATATATAGATAGATATCTATATATATATTCAGCAAGAAGGAATATAACACCTAATTAATCCGCACAGCAGTACAAAGGGCTCACTTCAACTCACTTTTGTGGAACAGTTAATATACTAAAAGTCCTTCAACTCACTTGGGCTGCCGGTCCAAGGTCAAGGAAGCAGACAGTGGAGTCTTTCCTCAGGCAAGACAGGCAGAGTCTGCCCAAAGGCAGCAGACAGCAGTTAACTTTGCATCAAGAAAACATCCCAACCCAGTACTGCCCAAGCCCAAAAGTCCAATATTCACCCATTAACCCATATGTCCAACACCAGTCCACAAAGTCCTTCTCCGTCTCACAAAGCAGACGCAATGACGCCGACTGCAGGAGGAAAGCCGAGTCAGTGAATGTGTAAACATCTCAGCGCTGGCAGGGGTCTCCACACGGCTGCTCCAGCACCCAGGGCTGCATCGAGGTAGGTCCATGTGGCTTCTCCTTGGGGATGTCTTGCAGGAAGTCAGCCTTGTAAGCTGAAGCAGGGAACTGCTGTCTGCTGCCTGCAGTCAGTAGCATGGGAGCCTAGTGAAGCAGGCCCAGATGGGATCTCAACCCAAGCAATGCAAGGTGACAGGATCCACCAGCCTTGATGTCCCCACCAGCAGCGTGGCGAAGCAGGTCTCGAAGGAGCCTCAAGCTCCAGTGACATGATCCGCGAGTTGGCTTGGCCCACAGGTAGTGCAGCACACATTCAGGCAGCAGCACGTTGGTCCAAGGTCCAGGAAGGAAGGGAGAAGGGGGCTGGCCTTGGAAAGCCATTTCTCTAGTTGCCCTCCAATCAAACTTTGACCTGGTTAAACGCTGCCCATGTGTTCCTATTGGTCTTCTTGGCACCATAAACCTACCTATCACGCACAGTAATCCTTTGCACAACAGAATGAAGCACTGCTCAGCCCTGTGCCATCCTCCCAACCGTCTCCATATTTGAGGCCACTGTTGCAATCCAGTTCATTGAGGTCTTCCTCATCCTTGCTAGCCCTCTACTTTTCCAAGCCTGATCTCCTTCTCTACCGACTGATTCCTGCTATTAATAGTCTGAAGTACGTAAGGTGAAGGCCCATCATCCTCACTTCCAAGGAGCTCCTTGGCTGCACATCTTCCGAGGTAAATTTGTTTATTCTTCTGGCGGCTCCAGTACTTTCAATATTCTTCACCGACACTATAATTCAAGGACAGCAAGTATTCTTGGTCCAGCTTTCACGCGCATATGAAGCGGAGGCAAATCTCATCATTTGGGTCAGGTGTAACGTAGTCTCCAAGGTGATGTCTGCTCTTTCACATGTCCAAGAGGTCTTGTGCAGCAGATGTGCCCAGGGAAACACACCAAGTGATTTCTTGGCTGCTGTTCCCATCACAGTTGATTGCGGGTGCAAGCAAAGTGAAATCTTTGTCGACTCCCATCTTTTCTCCATTATGATGTTTGTTGCCTACTTGGTTCAGGTCTAAGGATTTTTGTGTTTTCTTTACATTGAGCTGTAGTCATGAGTGATACAAGATAAAATGATAAGGTACTGTACCACATCACCAAAACAAGGTATCTTATTGAACCTGTAGCATTGTCTATTATTGGATGTGTAATAATTTTGTATTTTTTCTGGTACATCTTAGATAATGTCATGATTCAATAAGAATCAGTAGTTGGGATGGCACAGTACCCTAACACCTAATCTTGTGCCCCCTGTGTAATTCCCCATGATGGAATCAGCGGTCATGCAGTAGTCAACATTACTCAGTGACTGAAACAGAAGCAGCACACCCTGCTCACTGAGTGGTCTGGGATCAGCTCAGCATGGCCAGTTAACCAGAGAAAGACAGAGCCCGTGGAACAAACCAGAAGCCTGGCGTCTAGAGAGGGGAGGTAGGATGTGGGG